GGTCTTCTCTTTTGGCATCTCTGAAGTATCTACAATATTCAGCAGTGCTATAAAATAATAAGTAGCAAATGGGTTTATTTTTAGTGGTTACTCAGAGTTTACTCTGGTCATTTACATATGTGGACTTCAAAATTCCCTTGAATTACAAAACAGTGAAGCAAAACCTTACCAATGGTGGCATGCTTTCATATTAAGATAATGCCCCTGATCCTACAAACAAGAGCTTCAGTCCCCAGTTATCTTTAACCTAATAATTTTTCTTTTGGCATTAAGAAACTTGGGCGGGGGGGGAGCGAAATTAAGGTTGGCACTCACAGGCAAATGATTAACAAATATTAGGTATCTATCCCTATCCCTTCCTGGAGTCTATACACCTCTGTGGATATGAAAAAGCACTGTAATTCCCTTTTCTCCTACCAAAGGAATTTGAATCATTCACCATGGACAAAAATGCATCATAATGTTGGCATGTCAATCAAAGCTTTGACAGAAAATGCCAAATCCAGTGACCAAGGCTTTGTATAAGTATGAACAAGTTTCTGTTCAACAAATCTCTGCATAGATCCCTCTAATCATATTTGAGAATGTTATTTACCAAGTGAACCAAAATAAAAGAAGAAAGGGAAAAAAAATAGATTGATCCTGACCAAATATATTTTTGTGTTTTCTGTGAGAAAGAACCCCACTTTTTTTTTTTTAATTGTCAGCAAAAATACAAGTCTAAATTGTTACAAAACTGCTGATGCCAACCTCCCCCGTTTTCACCTCTGACTTTTATTCACAAACTGCAATGCTTAGGTAGATCACTTGAACAGAACAGCCCTGTTTTGAGTCTCCCAGGACAGCACCCCAGCCCTGAAGCAATAAAGCTATTTGAGGTATGAATCTCTCCTATTGACACTCTTCCACATTGGAAAATAAGCATTTCCTAGATCAAAGACTGAAACTTAAGTGGATATTTTAAACACATGACTGCATAATTACTTTATATAAAATATATCTAGCTTGAAAGAGCCAGTGTAATCTCAGTTTCAAAATGTACTCGGGCTGGGGAGTTGTGCACTCTTCTGACACACAGGAAGGGCTTGATTTAAATCCCTGTCATCAGCTCCTCTCTGAGAGACCACAGGACAGCACTTCCTATGGAGAGCAGCTCCAAGAAGCCAATTTTTCAGGAAATAATAAAGGAACATACATCTGTATATGTGCTGCAACTTCTGTGCAGTTGAGAACTGGGAAAGGAATATTTGAACATGAAAACATCTGTCCTCTACCAGTACCTCAGGCACTCAGCATGAGGCAAGCCAGCCAGCACCAAAACACCCAAATCCCCAGTCCCCATGAGGGAATGGCACCTGTCAGCATTACAAAGTGGAAATCTCCAGACATGTATTTGTTCGTTGTTAAGAAATGTTTCAACCTTGTTTCCTCTAACAGATATTTATTCCATTCACAAGCATACTTTTACTGGTATTCTTGTGGAAGTAACCAAAGCAGCCTGTCTGCTTTGAGACAAAACCAGCACCAAACTGGGGCAGAAGGAAGCATTTTAAAGCCCCTTAGCAAAGACCTTGGTAGGTCTCAGAGACTCAGTCTGCAGCCCTTCCAAAGGAGCCAGCCTGGGCTATCCCTTTGAAGGCTCCAATAAGGTAGCAAGCCTGTTTTCTTAACAATCTGTCCTTTCTCATCTGCAGAGGGAAAGCAAGTCAAGTGTGCCCTTATAAACTACTTTAGTAAAATGGATGTGCAGTACACACTTCATTACAACCGCCACGGGGATTAAAAGTAACTTGAGCAAATGGCCCCAGCTCCTCCTAATTATCTTTTCAAGATACTAGACCACAAAAGAGAAAAAAAAATAAAAATAAAAATAAAAACCGAACCTGCTTAAGAGCACCTGAGTCTGCCGAGGGACCAGAGCAGCTACCACAGGCTGTGGGCCCAGCCCCCAGAGCCTGGCTCTCCTGCACAATGTCCCACCTGCTGGCAGGTGCAGTGGGCCCCAGGAGACAAGGGGAGTGCGTAAGATCCTCAGAGAAGAAGCCCTGCCACGGATGTGTGCAGGACCTAACCGAAAAGCGTCCGGCTTTGTGTCTGAGCAATGCTGCCCTCCTATGGCATGTTGCTCAGCCCACTCCCTTCTCCGCTGACACCCTTCTGTCTGAAATGCTCCAACAGGCCCCTAATCCCACCAAAACAGCAAAAGGAAGGGGTACGTGACGATCAGTCGGTTACTCTTCCTGGCTCAGGGCCTCTGAAACATATTCCCAGATGACTGATCCAGCTGGCAGAGCCCCATACTCTGTCCAGGCCTTTGTGCTTGGCCACAGCCTTTCCCAGCCTTGGGGTCCTGTTTCCTTCTGAAGTCGTTTGGCTGTGCAGCTCATTCCTCCATTAACCCTTTCAGAGGTAATGCAACAGAGGAGCAAGAAGCTGAGAAGTTTAACCTAGAGCACAAACAGTCTTTTAAAAACAAACCTTCACATCATGAGAAGTACCGGCTGTAAGAAGCTCCTGACTTACAGTCATGTATTCCCCTACTGCACTGTCCGGGGTGATTGCAGCTGAAGTCCTTAGGGTAACCCAGTACTGAGTCTTCTTCCTTGTGACTGACCTCTCCTCCTTATGAGATTTTTCTTTTGAAAACAGTTTCTAGCTGCATTCTTACCTACTTACTAGGAAAGCTCCTCTTACTGCCACAAAGTGGCTGCAAATGGCTGTGGAGTTGTCTCTGCACACCCTGCTCACAGCAGATCTTTACAGCATTATGTGGACTCCCTTCAATACAACTCAGCACTGGCCCAATCTGGGGTTTTCACAGCTTACTAAAATGTCTTTACATTCCACCACCAGTCGAGTCAGTAGAGGCCTCTTGTTTATTGGTGGGACCTGGGTGTAAGTCCTGAATACGTGTGAAGATTTATTCAATAAACACACCACTTGTATGAAATGTGGCACAGGAGACTGAAAGGTCAGTGAGTAGTTCAGCAACAACAGAGGCACCAACACCTGAAATGACTTTAAGTGGACGAAGGCCCCCAGCTACATTTTTGTGAACGTTTTTTTTCTCTTTGTAGGGAAGGACACTTGAACCAGCTACACCTCATGGGTTTACAAGCAGCTGCAGAATATAAATGTATAAGGGAAAAAATACTATAAATTGAAGAGAATTATCATAGGAAGAGAAAAGGGTAATCCACGGACTCTGCTCAGATCCAGTTGGTGCCCTGGATAACCGAATATTTTGAGCACTAACTGAAGTTGGTTGCATAAAGCGCTCAGATACATGGAACCACTTTTAGCTTACAGGGAATACTCTTCTACCACTCCCTCAAATCCCCCCAAAACCTGTGAAATCAGTTCTCCAACAAGAAATAGATCTGCCTTATGCCATGCCAGCCAGCTTTCCAGATTCATTGTGGTCAGAGCTCTGCAGTTTTGAGGCAAACCTGTAGCTTTTATGTAATAAAAAAGTAACTGACTTTGTGTTTACCACGTGCCTTCTCAGATGCTTCTCACATCTGGATTGCTTCCAGTGTATGTATATAGTTTATATATGTTTATAACCTTATAAAGTTTTTAAAGCTTTGGCAGTCTCTCAGCCACAGCTGTGATGTAGGTCTAATGTGTGTTTATGGGCCTGAGCTGAGTATGAAAATGCTGGAAAGTTTCAAGTGTCTTTATGGACTTGCAGGTGGAGCTAAATAGAAGCTGTAACCTAAGTGAGGAAGACATCTCTTGTGTGTAAAACCCGAAGTATTTCCTACAACAATTCCTGGCTCACTGTAATCGTTTAAATCAGACGATCCCAGGCAGTGCATTCCTCCCAGGGACCTGCAGAGCCGTACAGCTGTCTGCATGGACACACAGGCTCTCATCTCCCAGTGCCCCCCCAGGTCTCACAAACCCCCTGACCCACTGCTGTCCACACTGCTTTGCACATGACAACAAGCCTGAGCTACAGGTCTGGCCTGCACTCCAGCCTCCAGCATGCCTCGTGTGCCATGGCCAAGGTCTTCCTCTGCCAGGTGGGAGGGCACTTTGCAAGACTTTACCCTGGAGTTGCTTTGTCTGAATTGCACAGACCCGACTGGGGAGTGGAAGAAGGGAGCAACAGCAAGTGCCCATCTACTCTAGAATTTATCTTTAGTCCCAGGCTTTGTTTCCACATCCCACCCCAAAACTTTCCCTGAGCTACTCCTCAGTGTGTCCTCCTGCTTCGACCTTTGCTCTCTCCTTGAGGTCTGATGGTTTTACCACTCCACTACGACATGCTCTTGAAGCCTGATAAATAGCTTTTGATGGTAGGCCATAGCTGGCTTCAAGCAGGCAATCTACCAAGCAGTGGAGATTTTGCATATAAAGCTATTAAAACACAAGGTAACATGAAGGGTCAACTTGTTTCCACACTGCTATAGCAAGCAGTAAGATAAAGACAGCACACATTTCTGTAATGAGCTAACTACACTTCATACAAAAGACCATGGGGTATCTGCTCAGAGGCTGTATTCAACAGTGATGGATCTAGGAATGCTGGACATTATAGTTTGCATTCCTTATAATACCTGAGCATCTGTTTCAAACCATTTCCTGACAATCTAATCTCCTCCTTGAAATTTCAGAAGATGTAGGCACCAGTTTTGTCTCCCCTCACTACCCTCGGAAAGTGAAGCATGGCTATTTTTACTAGTGTTACAAGACATCTTCCATTTAAACCAAACCTGTATAAAAAAATGGAATACTTTTACAGCTTTTATACATTATGCTGAGCATTGTTATTTCCATTTTTGAGAAAACACCCTCTATGTATATTTAGAATTCTTCCTATAAGCTGATGAACTGATTGTAGTCATAGAAATACCAGAAAACTGACAAATTGGAAATAATTATTTCAAAAGGTAAGTACTTGTCTTCTACTACTGATGTACTAGCAGCTTCCTATAAAATAATAGCTATCATTTTGAAAATACCAGATCCTCAAACAAAAAGAAAATATATACCAGTTCAATGTCCCTACTCTAGAAAGTGGAGTACATTACAGGAATGTAATGGAGGAGATTGTTGCAATTAATCGAGCAACCAGAATTTGCTTTTGCATAGGGTTCTTTGTCTATGAATTGCAAAGAATTTCTGAGCAGCAGGCTATGAGTTTTTCATTTTTCTTAAGGAGAGGTAAGAAAGGCTCCAAAACAAATCCTGTCTCAGCCACAGACAGTGAACCCAGCAGCATGCTCTGTCCCAGCACCCTGCTGTGAGCACTACAAAGTTTCCCTCAGAAAAAGAGGCAGAAATGTGCCAGCTTCTGCCCTCAGTAACACCACTGGAATCCTAGCATTATAATTACAATGATGACACAACCTAGTCAGTCAACCGTTTCATGTCTGCCCAGCTAATTATATTTTAACTGTTGCATCAGCTTGGATAACCAGTTGGCTGCCATGTGAATGCTTGGTTGGTGCAGCACATATATTTCCCATCTTAAGGTGATTAATGTAATTCCCAGCACAGGAGAGGCCAGATGATGAGTTCAGTGCAATCCCTGGTATTTAAAAGCAACTGACCAAGAGAAATAATCCAGGGCATATCCATACTACTCCTCATTTGTGCAGATAAAGAAACTAGAGAAGAACCTGTGTAACTTCCACTACAGACAGCTCCTCAGACCAGACTGAATGGACTGAGGCAGTTTTACTCCTGAGCCCCCCCACAGGACATTAACATTGTACCTAAAACAATTTAGTTGGACAATGAATCAAGAATAAACACTTTTCAGGACTTGTATGAAGAACCAGGAGGTGAAATACCATGTGCTGGCTGGGGAATTTATATGCAGTTTAGCACTTGACTTAGCACGTGATACTGAGCAAGATGAACAATGTTTCCTGTCCTGTTTCCCTGTCTTTAAAATGAGGAGGGTACTTAGTTCCTAGGTGAGCTCCTCCTACTGAGGCTGTAAGACTTAATGTTTGTAAGAATAGCTTGGGATCATTGGAAGAAAGATGTACAAAATCAGTATTGATCCCAAATGTTTTGTATACTCTGTTGCTGCACTCAATAAACAATCAAGTATAGAACACGTTTCTGCAAAGCCAACATGTAGAAAATTCTCTATTGTCTCTTTCCACTTTAGCAAGCAGCCCATGGAAATCTTTAGAATCCCTAGTCAATACTATTTAAAACATCATGACTGATTTTACACTCCACATTCTTTGTAATTTCTCTTTCTCTCAAATAGGTAGTATTCTTGTGGGAAGAATGTCTTCCCTTCATAATTATTACAAACAAAGCTTCAGACATGCAAGTTTTCACATATCAGGTGAAGGCCTAAAATTTTGGAGACTTTCATTATCCTTTCAATACAAAAACACTTCCATGGGGATTTTCCTGCTTTTGCTTGAAGGGAAGTGTATTTTGTTTCCTTTCAGTGTTATAGTGAAAGATAATGTCACGACCACCTCATAGACTTACTGGTAATCCATTTCATGAAAAATCAAATCCACCTGTTGTATAAGCATAGCCTTATTATAATACAATAATGCATACCAGTAGCCTAGGAGCAAATTTGTTCCCACTTGTCCCTTCCAATCATTCATCTTGCACTGCATGTCTCTTGGAGTCATAGGGCTAGCCTGTGCATCTTGACAGCCCTGGAAATTATTCTAAATCAGTTCATTGTATTCCAACTCAACACTTCTTTTGATTACAAAGTTAATAGCCTAAAATGGACATTCTAGAGTTAACACTGTGAACTGCTTAATTGGTCACAGGAAGAGCAAAATGCAAGTGCCAGGCTGAGCATGACAACGCCTGGCATTGCTTGAGGCTCCACTATTAGAAGAATGATGTAAAATTATATATAGGTTTTTAATTTCTTCTTTTGGCCTGCAAAAGACTGTTTTCCATAATTGATTTTCACATGCAACTTGTTATGTGTACCTGTCTTTCAACAGGAAAATATCAATGATGAGGCACAATGATGCAGCTTGATCAGACACTTGGCTAATTCTCTACTGTTTGAATACAGAAGGGAATTTCTGAGTAAGGAGCATAGGACTCTGATCTTATGTCAGGACAGGTGTTCAGAGCTGCCCAACAACTACTTTTGCTTAGTACCTGAATTATTTACACCCAGCTCAGTAACAGATGATTATTAATGTATTACGGGCCATGAAAAAAAAAAAACTATTTCTTAGATAAAAATGAAATTTAAAATTTCCTTCTGAAAGCAAAGAAAAAAACCCTACTCTTGTTTTAACAAAAGGGTTGTACACTCTGCACGTTTAGTTAGCTTGTATCAGGCTCAAATGAGCGAAAATACTGGCACAGCAAAGTGGGTAGGAACACATAACTAAGGAGCAGCAAAAGGAAACAGGACTGTGCTACTGACCCCTTGTACCTATTAGATTGGCTTAGTTGTAATGTGAATCTACTATCTTGAGTGATATCTAGCCTATCTGTAGAAACGTGTGAGACAGGAATCAACTGAATGAATCTCATTCTCCAAGTATAAGACTTGACAGGTCTGAATGTGGGATTTAAATGCCTGAACAAGGAAGGAAAGAGATTTTAGTGATTAAAACTTTCTGCAGAACAAAAAAATTCCAACCTGAATCCACAGAGTGTAAAACATTAAGGACATCTTTTTATCTTTGGAAATTATTTTACAGTTAACTGAATAACAACTCTGAAAATAAAGCCTCTTTTTATTCTCTCTCCTTGATTTGCAATGGGAAGGATTTAAAGAACTATATTTGATCCATTAGGTTGAGGAACTCACAGTACTGTACATTGGTTTAGTGTACTAAATTTAGTTGACTCCTGTCACTTTCAATTACCCTTCTAAAAAGGACAGATAAAAAATAATGTCTCTCTTTATATCATTTGGTTTGCTGTTGATTAATTCTTCTCTTCTAGTGCTTGCTTATGTTTTGTGGGGTAGGGACAACAGAACAGCTTAAGGGGAGGAAAAGCCTTAATAAAAAGCTCTTTTTCTGAGTTTGAGATTGTAGAGTCTTCCCTTTTGTATTTATATCTCATCAATAAAATGTCAGGATTGTTGATAAGGACACAAAAGTCAGATAGAGAATGGACTGAATCTTAACGTTGGTCAAATATGCCAACTGTAAGAAATCCTGAATGTAAAAATAAGTTTCTACACATGCTAACCTCATCATTAACATGAAGCAGAACTAAATACAAGTTTTACATAATTAATCCCCTGATTTGTCCATTTTTGCCACAGCAAAGAACTGTAGAAGAATAGCATGCCCTAATTCTTAAAAGAACTGTGCTCCACATCAGGGGTACTCTCAGACATTTCAGAAATAGCTCAATTCCATTTGGTATCACTTATGTGTATGCCCTCTGTAAGCTATGTACAACTCTTAGCACCCCTCAGCCATTCAAAAGGAGGCATGAATTCTGGGGCGGGTCTTGAACTCAGCTGCTTCTTTGCAAAGGATATATAGTGAGAGGCAAAGGGTTCTTACTGTGATGTCTTCCAGCCATCAAATGGTAATCAAATACTTTGATGAGGACGAAGTGAAAAGATGAATGCATTTTAGTGATCTGTTTAAATTTCCAAAATAGCAATTGCTGAACTTGACTGCTCTCAAAAACCTTCCTCTGAAAACAGAAAGAAGCAGCAATGATTTACCCTGAGTTTCTGCTGAGTCTGAATGATCAAAGATATATCAAAGTTTTATTCCTCCATCTTTTTTTTTCTTTCAGTTTTTTGACTTGGCTGATACTCCACAAAGACAAAAAAAAAAAAATCCAACCAAAACAAAACAACCACCCCCCCAAAAAAAAACAAACAAACAAAAAACCCCCCCCAAACAACAAACAAACAAACAAAAAAAGCCCCCACACCCCCCAAAATATACCCAAAACACCAAAGCCAAAAACCCAGCACAGGCTTTTGGAGAGGAAGGAAGTGCTGCATTCAGAAATTCACTAATTCTTTCCAACCTTCCTGTTGGAAAAGCTAGAAAATTCTCCCTTGTTGGTGCTTCATTGTCAGGATTAATCTACCACTAAAATCTAATGTAAAAACTCAGCAGTGGTCATGTATGTTTCATTGATTTCTCCAGAGAAACACAAAGCATGAAATCCAAATTCTGTAATAAGACCTGGAAGAACTTCTGACAGGACTGAAAAAGTTTCTCTTGTATCCTACAATAGCGCTGGTGACAGTAAACTGGGTAGTAAAGTAGTATCAAAGTTGATGATTAGCAAGCATATATGAAATTGCCGGAGGTTGTGACTTCCTGGAGACAAGTGTCTGTGGAGCAGATATCCTGAAATCCCTCTTCCCCATCCATCCATCAGATGTTCCCTATCCTTTATCTTGCTGAATGTCTTCTTCAGACACTGGGATACCACCTGGAACTGGAGGAGAACATATCACTTCTGCACAATAGCTGGTACAAGCATAACTAAATGGCAATGCCTGTAAATTCTGCTATCAGGCATGTAGACATGCAAGTCTGATAGTTTCTTGTGGCTTAAGTAACTTGCCAGCAGATCATATACTAGAAACATGTCACTGCTTGTGATACAATGGCAGGTGTGTTCTTGCCCATAACTGGAATGCACTTAGTAAGGCAGAGTTTGAAATTTACCAGTTCAGACAAAGATACCTTCTTCAGGTTGTGACAAAGGCAACAAAAGAATGGAAATATCGTAGTAGACATTCACTATTTTCTTTATGAACAGTCTATTTGATTAATGCAGTTTCACAGTTAAAGCCCCACTTTATGAACAGGAGTCATTCTTACAGCAGAAAATGATGCAAGTCCCTTTGCCACCAGAGATTCAGATCCCTGTTTGGCTGCTGTTCTACTAGATGGATCAACTGTTGGGCAGATAATATCCCCTGGTACTGTTCTAAAGAACTCTTTGCAGTTAGACATAAAACTTTCAGTCTTAAGAAGTTAGCCACTTCCCATTGCTTGCTGCTGACCTACATGGGCTATCCATGCATTCAGGCAGGTTTCCACAGTAAAAAAGCTCCCAGTGGAATGCAACATGATCTACAAAAATCTTTGTCTGTCTTCTAACCTAGGTACTTGAGAACTCATGAGATAATAAGGGGTTTAGAATCTATGCTGTTTCTCCTTTGGGGATCATTAATACATTAAGAAACACAGAAACTCCTGAGAAACCATACCAAGAC